CGGTGGGGCCCCGCGCCCCCAGCTCCACCCCCTCCTCCCCCCAGCCCTGCCCCCCCACAGCCAGGCAGGGAAATGGAGCATCCTCTGCCGGCTCCCCCCACTCCCGACCTGCAGCCCCCTGCCCTGCTGGCGCCCCGCACTTCCAACCTGTACTCCCCTCTTGCCCCAATACCCCTCACTCTTGACACGCAGCCCCCTGGTGACCCCCACTCCCGACTTGCAGCTCCCTCTTCCCCCTGGTGGATCCACAGCCCCCTGCCCGCACTGGTGCCCTTCACTCCTGCCCTGCAGTCTCCTTCCCCCAGTGCCCCACTCCCACCCTGCAACCCTCTTCCTGCTGGTGCCCCCCACTCCCAACCTGTACTCCCCTCTTGCCCAGATGCCCTTCACTCCTGACCCGCAGCCCCCTGGTGCCCCCCACTCCTTCCCAGCAGCCCCTTCTTCCCCCAGCACCCCTCACTCCTGACCCACAGCCCCTGCCCCTAGGAAGCATTATGCTGCCCGGGGGGAGGGGGGGTCACACCTCAAGACCTCCCCCAATCAGAGTCAACACCTGCACCTTGCAAATCCAGGGTCTATTTATTGGACCATTGACACTAACATAGCACCAGAGCTGGTGGGGAGGAGGGGGCAGGACCCCACCAGAGGAGTTTGGGAGTGTGGGGGAGTCTTGGTGCCCCCTGTTCCACCTGGGGGTCTCTTTGGAGGTGGGTGAGCACCCCCTGCTTTGCCTTGGCATGTGTGGGGGGCTGCAGGGAGGGGGGGGGTCCTCAGGGCTGTAAGGACACCCCCTGCTGGGCCTGGGGACGAGGGAGGGGGCTGGAGGGTTTCAGGAGGTCGGGGCACCCCCTGCAAGGCCCGGAAGGACATAAGGCAGCTGAGGGGCAGCCCCTGCTAGGCCCATGGAGTGTGTGGGGGTGTCAGGGAGGCCATGGGGGGGTCCACCCCCACCTCCCAGCCAGGCCTGTGGAGTGTGGGAGATCTTGGGGGTCCCAGAAGAAGTCTCTGGGGGTCCGGTCCCGTGAAGCACGGGGATTCAAGAGTCAGGGGCCGGTGGCGGGGGCCCAGGCAGGCCAAGGAGACGGGCCAGGCGGGCAAGCGTGGCCTGCAGGGTGCGGTGCAGGAGCAGTGCAGCCGTGTGGCGACAGCAGGTGGCGGCAGTGATGGACCCACGCACGCGGCCCCCACGAAGGTCGTAGCAGACAGCATAGCCATCGG